CTCGCTAAGGAGAGGACGCTCAACTCCCGAGGGTATCCTGTAGATAGAGATTGCAGAATTAGTCGCCTACCCATTACTGAAAATGTTGTTCAAGAAAAAAACAAAAGGTAAGCCTATAGTTTATAGTTCGGCTAATACAAGTTTCCTTTAAAAAAAAAAAAAAAAAAAAAATTATCGTACATCATTGACAAAGGTGATAACGATCATTAAGTACAATGTAAAATTCGAAAACTCGTCAATGATTGGCGGATTAGAGTCGGCTTTTTTTCAAGAAACTCCGCGGGGCCAGAGGCCACAGACGGAGATTAGTTTATGGACTTCCTTTGTCTTCGATATTTTCAAAATGAATTCATTTATGCAAATGCATCTTTTGTTGATACTATGCATTAGTTATCACAGACAAAATCCTATGAGTGTTTAGCTGTATGTATGTCAAAGAGAAGACATATCTGAAAACAGAACTACCTGGAAGAATTATGGAAAGTGAAAATCTGTGAGTAAAATCGCCCGCATACCAGTAAACATTTCCTGATTCACCAAACAAGGCGGTTAAACTAACGGAATTCCGCCGGCACTCGCTGCCCCCATCTGTGAGCTGAAGGTCTTATTTGGAAGTAAGTTGCTGCTTATCTTACTCTTGACTGGTGATGTTGGATGCGTTTGACAGTTTATCGTGAATTCATTGTTTTCATCTTCACTCCCTTCGGTATGTTTTGTTTACTCGAGTGAGAGCATGAAATACTATTATAGCTCAACAAGCAGAGCGTGGCGAGCAGAAATAAAATCGCCATGATTCAGCATATTGACAAGTTAACACAGCCTTGATCTCTTCAAGTTCCCGGTGATTTTCAACCGAAACGTGATAATCATGGCATATTATTTTGTATGAAGGCAATCTTATCGGAAATGTATGTTGACATGACCATTTAGGAATGGTGTTTGGGTTTGCGATTGACGTTTCGTGTCAATTAGTAACCACGTACGTCATACAAATTCACTTTCCGAATGACTTCAAAAACGTTTCTGTTCTTGAAGCGAAAGCAGTGGAAACCAGTTCGTCGATAATCGTTGTAATCAACATCAAGAAGCAGAAATTGTTTTGATGTTCTAAGGGAACCGGTCCAACACCGACCTCAAAATGCAGCGTCCAGCGAGAGGTAACACATTGTTTAGAGGTGCCAGTTTGAACATGAAATTCGCCAGCGAAATTTACATAACTTATACACGAAATGTATTAGTTGTCTATGAAATAAGTTGTTTCAAAGAAATCGGCTTTTTCTCACGGAAGCCTCTAATTCGTTAGTTTGCGAAGTGACTTTTGAAGACAAACATAAAAATTATATTCCTAGCGTCGAAACTTTGGAAGCAATATCGATCTAAACTCCGGTTCACTGAAGATTGACAGCGTTAATCTTTTTGTCGAGTTGATTTCATCTAAATCTTAACCTTTCTGGCAAAAGTTTGATGGCCGATTAAAACGAACTATAAATCGAATGCGATTTGATTTTTGTCCTCTACAAATCAAGTAAATAATTTTCCCATCTACAGTTAATGACCACACGGCCCGCATCTGTATTATTGCTCATTTAACTTATGATTTGCTTTTTAATCTGTTTCCTCTCTAATATAAAGAGGTATAATTCTAAAAACTAATTCGTCAGTGACTTGTAAATTTTCTGAAGAAACTTGTTCATCTCTATTTACTTTGTTACATGTCCATTGTTGGCAGTCGTGATGAGCTAGCAGAGATTTGCATTTGTTGTTGTTTCGATGCATAAATCACTTGCGCGAGTCGAAAGAACCTTTTTGTCACGGGAAAAAATTTATTTATATTACAGAAACATGGTAAAAGACAGCTTTAAAATTTGAAATGGTAAGGTAACGTCTTAATGGCGAGAAATGGGTATAATTATGGAAGCTGTAGGGATGTTCTCTAAACAAACAGACACATCGTCTAGTATCTTTCCGGTGTCGCAGTGATATGTGTAACCCCGTGATATGTGTATCCCCGTGATATGTGTATCCCCGCACACATATCACTAGTGATATGTGTACCCCCACCCCCCTCCCCTCCAAAAAATAAATAATGACGGCTAACTTGTATTAATGGACAATTTTTTAATAATTTTTTTAAATATAGACTAGTGAGTAGCACTTCTGCGAACAGTAGTTGTAAAACTGTTTTTATTTTCCGACGCGGTTCGTCTAACTGTCGTAGACTTCTTCAGGGAGTTTTTTGGGGGCCACGGTTTTAGCTAAAACCATGGCCCCCAAATATTTTTCTCACCTTGCCTTACACGATTTAAATTTTTCACAACTTCGCCTGTTCCTGTTCGTAAGTCCGGCCAAGCCTCTACGGTCATCAGCCCCCGTTACTTTGGCTTACAAATACAGGCGTTTAGTTATACTTGTAAAACTCCCTGAAGAAGTCTACGACAGTTAGACAAGACGCGTCGGAAAATAAAAACAGTTTTACAACTACTGTTCGCAGAAGTGCTGCTCACTAGTCTATATTTAAGAACATTTAAAACATTTTTTAGAAAATTTCAAATACTGGACAACCCAGATTTCGGTTGCCCTGATAAGGACTTGGTTGTCTGGGGCCGTACAGATTTCAAAACAAACAAAAAAAACAACAACAACATAGAAGCCCCTTTTAAAGATGAATTCAAAAGGCTTTGATGTAAATAAAATATAAACCACAAAATCTGTCCCTCGTAGCCGATATGTTTTCCTTGAAGACTTTGGAGGCCCGGGTACAAAGCTTCAGTGTTTGGTGTACCCCTACTGGGGGTACACATATCACTGATGAAATGTGTGCGGGGATACACACATCACGGGGGTACACACATCACTGCGACACCGGCTTGAAGTGCCTGCGCTTTGGAGGGGGGGGGGAGGGGGAGGGGGCAATGAGGGTAAAATTGTCACAGGGTCTTCACAACTGCAAGTCCTGTCGGGAACAATTCCACGAAGTGTATTCAATTTACCGTTGGTAATGTCTGTTTATATCCTTTTACAGGAAGTAGAATAGCACTTCTGCAGCCATGTTTCGATTCCTGTTCAGTAAAAGAGGAAAAGGGAACATCTCTCCTCCAATAGAAACACAGCGTACGACGGAAAACTTTGATATGCCATCTACCAGAACGTTCCAGGTCTTAAGACCGGTTCTTCTCGTGTCTGTCTTGACGGGATATGCGCATCAAAAGTATCGTGTTCTAGGAGTTCTTGGTGGGTTCCTTTGGCTCATTATGCTCCTCGCCCATGCAACATTGGACTTTCTTGCTGCCCGTCAAGTTTATACGTACGGATGGGCTTCAGTGTCTTTGAGTCTTTGTTTAGTGTGTTTTATATGCACAATTTTTACCAACAAAAAAATGTTACCTTGGCTTGAAAAGGGATTGTCGCTGCTAGAGGAAGATAGGAGATTTCCGAAAACGATGGAAAAATGCCAGCAAGTTTTTAAGGTAAGAAATTGTTCATGTAGAGCGATGGACTTCGGGGCTGATCAATGGCCCAACCTCGTCCTCGAAGTTTATTCTTGCCATAAATTTGAGAGAAAAAGCTCCCTGCGATAGCCCCCTCGTATGAGCCCTGTTAGAGTGACTAATTTTGCCATCTACTCATTATGGGAAATTTAGCTTTGGGTACGAAAGTCAACAGGGCGCGATCTTTTTGTTTCATTCCGGCAAGGGTTTTTTTCCGAGCTGCTCAGTCAATCGCAGTCTACTAAAGTACTCAATTTCCAAGAGGTTGGAAAATTAGACACGTGAAATTGTTGAAACCCTCTATCACCACTTCCTGCCGACTCCCTATCATCTGAGGACCTTTTGTCATTTCGGGTGTGGCTATTCAACTTAGACAGTAACAAATGCAACGGCCTGACATTCTGTGTAATTTTTCTCACAGTGGATACCGCTGTTTACCCTGGTATTTGGATTGTTCTGTGGAGCTGGCATTTACGTCTGCCTTCATTTTGACGAGACGCTGGACGTCAAGATAAACCTCGACAGAGCGAGCTCAGAGTTCCCAGATTACGCGCTCGTCGTTCTGAAAGTGGTTCGATTCTTGGCAGCTTGTTACGTCATGTTCGCTTTAGCGCTGTTTTGGACCGTCACAGTGTGTGTCATGCACATAACTGGTTACTCTATGACTGAGTTTCATGGTGGGTAACACTTGGTTTTTCCTCTTTATTACACTGCCCATCCATGCTAAACACTATTTCTCGCGCAATCTCAAACCCAAAGCGCTTCCCTATTGCGCTGGCGTCCGCAATCCGAGGATGTCAACGTAATTGTGACGCACGTACATAAAGGACCAGTCATTACCGCGTGGGGGGTGGGGAGAGGATGTTTTGGGATCTCATGTTTTCAGGGGGAAACGAAGGGAGATCAGACATCGCCAGCAGAGTAAAAAAATCTACTACCAACGAGGTGGGGGGGGGGAGGGGGGGTTTGAAAGGGATCTTACAGAGCCTTATGAGGAGATCTCGTGACTTATGTCGTGACACAACCAAATTCTCCCCCCCCCCTCTCAATATATGACGACCGGTACTTAGGTGGCGGAATTTACTTTGCAACTGAATCTAGCCGGAGTAGTGATTTGTTATCCTCTCGTGAGCAAATGTAGTGACATTTTTTCCTATCTAAATTAAAAATTAACTTTACCTCTGAACCTAAACATAGAACAACTTTAGCTCTCTATCCCTGATGGTGTTATCCGCTGTTGTACCAAGGAAGCACTTTATCTTCTTGGCGTTTTTGACCTGCAGTAACAACCAGATCTCCTTTTATCCTTAGAGGAGATAACCAAGCACTTGATCGATAAGGAATCACCAATCACATTCAGACAAGGAGTAGTATCGTTCTCTGATAGGGGAAGATTTGTGAGAAAGTCTGCGTCTGCGTGCAGGGTAAGATGTAAGACACGTGATTAATGGAGATTTGTCTTCTCTTGGACACAGAGTGCATTTCGATTGGGTGTCGTAAAACCAATACTAGAGTTGTCTCACTTACAATCAGACCGAAAATAAAATATATCACAAGAACCTATTGAGAAATCCAAGTATAAACTAGTAACCTAGAAATCAACCAAGGCCTAAAAGATGCTTTGCTGGGATTAGTTTGATGTGTTATTTTTGTTTGTGCTTATAGGGAAATTTAAGTATTTTTTAGCGACTAAAGAATAATTTGTCCACTTTCTCTCTTGCCCCGCAGGTTACGCTTGCTGTTCTTTTAGTGTACAGCATCGCATCCCTTGCAGTGAATGCATTTCTCTTTTTGTACAAGCAGAGGCACATAGTATTCGCGTTTTATGCGTTGCTTCCAAGTATCGTCGCTGTCTACCCTCTGTGCATGGCTGCCTGGGTCACAAAACAATATTCATGGTATGAAAAACAGTTCGTAAAAACTTTAGCGATATACAACCACCGTACACACTTAGCAGTGGAGGGTTGGAGAAAGAAAGAAATTTCTACAAAGGAAAGGGAAG